GCGCGCCCGCGGGAGGGGCGCGCGGGGAGCGGCGCGCGCTGCGGCGCCCCCTGGCGGCCGCGGCGGGGCGCAGCGCGGGGCGGGTGGAGCCACCCCGGCCCCGCGACGGGCGGCACGGGGAGCCAGGCCCGAGGCGGGCGGCACTGCCACCCGCCTTTGATACAGAGCCGCCCTTAGCACAGCTCTTGATGGGGCAGAGGTGTTCTAATCCCCCTTTAAAACACCGCTGCCTTCCAGCAAGGCCACCCAACGCGCCTGTGTCCCGATTAAAAAGGGAAACTTCCTTCTCCCGCCCACCCCTCAAACCCATCCCCAGGCCCCTGCCTGCTCCTGCAGCCCTTCACCGTGCACAGCCCTCTGTCAGCAGCCCTTCACACATCCCATCTCCCCCGTCCCCATCAACCCTTTCCTCCCTGCCCCAAGGAGAGGCGGCTGCCGCCATCGCACGGTGCGAGCAAAGGGGAAAGTCTCGGCTACCGTGCACGGCCTTTCCATTGTCAGCCTGAAGTTAATTAAAACACAGCCCTGATCCAGGAAAACTGTAGTTTCCAGAGCCTGAGTACAGACAAACGCCAGTGGCGCCGTTCCTATTAAACACGGTGGGCTTGTGATGTGCTAATTAACCTAATTATCAAGGCTCATTAATGAGCCGCTTCCCCACATTTAATGCTGGGCGGGTTGGAAGCATGTCGCCTCAGCACGGCAGCTGGGAACTTGAGCGACTCCGCACACGGAGAGCATTTCCATTTCAAGCGCGTCCGGTGCCCCGACTCCACAGGACCCGGCTGCGGCTCCGGGCACTCGTCTCCCTCTGTTCTCGTGCCCGGCCGGATCCCTGCAAAAGGCTCCATGGTGGCTTGATGCTGACCTCGGCGTGGCAAAGCTCCACAAAGGAAATGGTTGCCCCATTGTATCTGTGTGGGATGAAACATCTTTGAATCCTCAAAGCACGCTTACCTGCCTTTCTTCCCTGCAAGGTGTAACCTTCTGAAGCACCTGCGAACGAGCCCCGGCTATGGAAATGTGATCTGAGCTCGGCTGGGAAGAAAGGAGAAAACACATAAAAGTGGCCTGGTTTCAGTCAGAATAAAACAGATAGAAGGTGGCAGCTGTGAGGTCTGATTGACACAGAGGAAGAAAGGAGATGAAAACAATTGCTTATGCCGGGACCTCATTTTATTGTGAACAAAATACAAAAGTTGGAGAGAAGGATTCAAGGAGCTGCGATGTCCCCTGCTTGGAGAAAACAAGCCAGGCCATCGCGTGCCTCTGAAGGCTTCTGAGTGCAGCTTTCAGATGATCTTACATTCTTGGGGGCTGTATCTTTCCAATGGCTCAAAGAAGGCTTTTGCCGGCTCCTCGTCTCGCTGCTGCAGAGGTGCAGTGTGGGCACAGGTTCTCCTAAAGAGGGCTGGGGCCAGGCAGGAGCAAGGAGCTTCCAGAAGATCCTAGCCGACCTGTAAGTGTCTGGGTAGCAACCCAAGACCTCCTCCCTCAAGGATCCTCATTTATAACAGCAGCACAGGGGGATTTACCTGCATTCCTGGTAGAAAGCTCTATGATTCAGGCCCTAACTGATGCCGTGCCTTATCCATCCTAACACCCTAAAACATTCCAGCTTTGGGCTAGCCCAGATTCAAGCTCTTTAGGCACAACAGCCTCTCCATCTGTACCTGATACCTCAGTGACCTTGTAGTGACAGCAGTGCAATAAACGACTCAAATGCAAGACTGCCGCTAAGAAAAGGTTCTGAGCAACTTTTGCAAGACAACAAGTCATTAGGGAGAACTGAGTACCTCGAGACACTGCTACAGGCACCTTCGGGTAGGCACGGAAAACAAGGTGTACGGGGAGCAGGAATACACTTATTCCCTGCTCCAATTCCCTTTCTAATATACATGCTCCAGTTAATGTTCCCAAATGCAGTAAGTCGTTGCTCTGGCCTCCTGGCTGCTCTCACAAGTGGCCAAGGAAGCAGCTCAAAACCACACCAGAACAGATCACGGTGCCATGCTCCACTTCTCTGCTTCTCCAATACTCCATTCAGTTAAAATGCGCATCACCAAACCTATCCCCCTGGAGATGAGGCTACATGTGAGAAGCTTTTTCCTGCCTGGGAAATTGCAGAAAAGGATGATAGGGCAAAGAAGGAACAAAAATCCTTACAAACCACAATGCAGAAGAGGTCAAAAGGAATGCAACATTTGGCAGTCATTTAAGAGGATGGTATGTGTACATCCATGGGAAGGGCTCCCACATGAGAACTGTAAACTACTGGCTTAGTATCATGTACTGAGAGTTTAAGAGCTCCCTCTGTCACACCCAGCTATTACTGAGTGTTTTTGCCAGCCAGCAAACTGCTCCACTCAAACAAACCTGGGCAAAAATGACTTCCTACACTGTCATACTCTCACACCCAGGATCTCAACAGACCGCAGGGAACAGCAAAGCAGAAGAGAACATCATGTGGGCTGGGAAAGCCTCTTCCATTCCCACTGTGGGAGTTCCTCAGCCTTCAGAAGAGATAAAAAAATGCGTCTTCATCGTAACCCTTTGTTTACAAAGCACAGGAGATGCTAATCTTTCTCTTCCCCTCTCTGCCTAAAGGATCCCAGTATACACCCATCCCTTTTGGGACAGAGGACTTCAAAGCACTGCACAGATCACAGCACAGGGATTGCTCTGACTGCTCACATCCGACTTTCTAAAAGCAGCATTTAAAGTTCTTGCTAAAAGACAAAGCACAGCTGCAAATCTGTCACAGACATTAACAGCACTGGGAACATTAGGCAGTGGTGTACGACGCATGAGGTCTGCATGCACATGTCAAAAGCACTGAGGTATCTCCAGGCCTGCACAGCTGGAGGAGACCCAGGCCTTACTCCCTCCTATCTTCGTTCCACAGTTGGTCAGGTCCTTCTGAACATCCAGCCACAAACACAGACATTAAGGATGTGGGATACAGCCTGAAAGAAGTGGATGAGAGCTCTACAAATGCAGCACTAGAACCGCACGTAAAGCTGGGTCTCCGACACCTCTCCCCAGCTTCCATTAGATGTGGTGCTGTAGAAGGTCTGAAATTTTTATTTCAGTTTGTGCCGTTCTCTCAGAAGAACAATATAATCTACCTCAGCCCATGACGTTGATTCCATCATCCTGTTTCTGAATTGAACAAAGATGTTGAAATCCCACAGCAAAAACAGCAGTCATTTCTCCATGTGAACAGAGAGCTTGAGGGCTGTTGAAACCTACGCAAAGAGCTCAGCTCTTCACCTCTACCCTGAGCTTCAAGCGGATATCACAAAGGAAAGCATTCATCAGGTCCTGGCCAGCCTCCTGGGCAATCCTGCTGATAATCTTCCCTTTTCTTCCAATCAACATCATCTGTATTAAAACCCAAAGAAAAGACCATATTTATCCTTACATCACTTAAGTGCAAGGAGGAATCACCTGAGGGAAAAAAAAATCAAAGGGAATATAGCAATTCAAGATATTCCAAGACCAAACAACTTTGAGAGGTGCAAGGGTTTTACTGAAACCCTTGACTGTTTACAGAAAAAATCCCCAGCTCCACAGCTGAGGGACAACAGATCAGCAAGGATGCGCATGTGCTGGATCCAGGAACCTCTCGTCATGCTCCCCAGGGCCGTGCCTCTCTTCTGAGATTACTCACCATATGAGACTTCCTCGGGACCACGAGGTTCTGCATAATGAGCAGCTCTCCACTTGGCCCTTCCTCCCACATCTCTGTCACCTGCAACAGCAAGCACAAAGTCAGCAAAGCATCTCGAGTAGCAAATGCCACTCCATCACAGACAGGGACTTGAGTCAGCTCCCCGATTCGAGTCCACATGTGGACAAACACACAACAGGGCTCAAGCCCTGTGGCATACAGGTCTGAAATCATCCCATATGTTTTGTAACGAGTGTGACAGATTTCACCGACCCAAGAGAAGGGTTAGCAAAGACAGCAGCAGTTTGAGGTCAGAGAAAAGTCTGCTTGAAGGTGCTTCCCACCTGATGCACACCATAGGGCACTTCCAGTGGCAGGTACTCCAGCATCTTCTCCCTGATGATGTTGTCACAGATCTCTTGAGGTGACTGGTTGGTCAAGACCCCACTGTGAAACTCCCAAGGGCCTGGCTTGGCTTGCATCAGGAGGTACTGCTGTCAGCACAAAATGACATTGCACCCGTTAGCTGTCATGTACCACTCTGCTCCCACAGCACAAACCTCTATGCTCGTCTTGTGGCGAGTCCCTAGCAGGACGTTGCTGCTAGACAGACATCTGGGCAGTATTTTAACAACTGAGGGGAGCAGGAATGGAGAAAAGAGAAGCTTCTGAAACTCAAACATACTACAGGATCACACCTCCCTGAGGCGGCTTATATCAGTTTAAACAAAAACAGTATTAGTGGCAGCTGAAATATAATGCACTGGGTGATCTCATCGTTAAGCTGCACAGAAGACTCTGAAATCGCTGTGCACACACAGCCCTCCTGCACAGAGGACACCTCGCTCTTGGCACAGGCCCACCCTAGGAAAAAATCAGCACTTCTGCTCCTTGCTCAGAGGACATGAAGCTCAATATGAAGTACACAGGGTACCAAGAGGGTGAAAGCAAACCAGCCTCAAAGTAAAAACAGTCCCAATCTGCAGTTACCTTTAGCGTATCCACCTCCTCTCCATGGAGGGCTGCAAGCATGAAGATCTCCTGGAAGCCTGGCCAACCTTTCATATTTTTAAGATGTTTATGTTCACAGGGCTTTGGGTCTTGCTCTTTGTCTGAGACAAGACTGGACCCCATATCGCTGCTGCTATCCAAGCTACAGTCTTCTGGGACTTTTTCTGCTTCCTGTAAACTGTGGGATTCATAGGCCCTAATCTCTGAAAGAGAAACTTGAGAAATTTTAGGAGTTTTTGATGATGAACGGGAATTATGTTCAGGATTGTATCTCATTTTCAATTTCTGTCCGTTTACGATGCCCTCTGTTAGTTCAGCTACTAGATCCAGCAGGATGAATTTCTTCTTTACCAGATCCACCTAAAGCGAGAAAGAGAAATGTCAAGGATTTGTCCTAAAAGAAGTTAGCAGCTGTTCCTTAAATTTTAAGCAGCTAGGAGAATCCACCCAACCTGGCTGCTGCAAGGCAGAGTTTCTGCAGTTGAATAAGACCGTTTTCCTACCAAATCACAGTGTCTCAGCAGTTCGTGCAAACAAAAAAAAAGCAGTCTGTGCAATCACTGACTGATGACCTTCTTATTGACCATCTTGGCTACAGGGCAGCTCCTGTTCCTGAGCTCATTTAAATTCTACTTTGCAATGGGTTTACATGCACGTACACACACACACACTTCAATATTCTGGAGCAGCAGGGGTACAACCTCCTCTCAGTGATCTGAAAATTCATCTGCTGAACCTTGGTACTGTTTGAAGAGATTAGCCTGATATGCTCTAGAACATAGAAAGCAGGAAAAAAAAAAAAAAAGGAATCTTATTTACCTTGTTCAGAACCAGGACACTGGGAATCTGGGGAAATTGAGAAAGACACTTCAGCACCTCTTGGCTCAGACAGTTTCGCGTCCAGTGATCCGATACATCCACCAAGACCAGAACTGCCAGAAAATAGTGAGGAAAATACTCATGAGAACTTGCCAAAATGTTACCTTTCTGCTTCCCCCTAACCTTCAGCAAAATTACTCCCTTCTAGCTTTAATCTGTCTCTCCTCTACAGCAGAAACATATGGATAGGAAAGGAGTGTTTTAACTGGCAAGACAATATAACACAGTTTATACTCCTTGTTGTCTTAAAAACATCACATGTGCCAATACACAATAACATCCCAGCCCAAACTCTTAATCCAAATTGACTCTCCTTAGGATCAGAAAATTGTTGTTCTCTTGCCCAGCTAAAGATTTCAAAGTCTCCTCTATGCCCTGTTCCTCTGTCCTAGTTTACACTTCTAGGTCTGCCCTTAGCGCCCTTAGGCAACCAGGTGCTTCATTTACATGGCCATAATCTTCTAGAGCAGATTAATGTTTTTCTGAAGAGAAGGAAATACAAGGAAGGAGAAGTGCTCACCAATATCTGCATGTTTCATGCTCTCCCATGGGTCTTTCAACATGGATTCGTTTAACTTATGCCTGAAAGAGAAACTCAAATCAGTAAAGTCAGTTGTGATTCACTCTGCCTTCTTCTGGAAAGGAAGAAAAACCTATTTTCTATCATCCCAGCTCATGTAAAGCTGCCCTACAGCCTACGACATCCTGAATTACACGCACTATGAAACACAACAGATACCGAGGGACTTTACATGCTACCAAAATAGCAAAGACAACAAAAATTCATATGCAACAATGAGATTAAAAATGTACATTCCGGTCAATCCTGTTTTAAAACTCCTGCAAGGGAGGGTTTTATAAGACCAGAACGATTTATTTGAGAAGACCCTCGTCGCCCCCATAACAGCAATACCTTTTGGCTTTCAACGGAGTAGTGAGACCAGGTGTATCCAGAATGATCTAAAAGGGGAAAGACAGATGTTTTCGTGAGCTTATCTGTGGTTGGTGGCAAAGACAAAACTTACGTCTGTGGTACGGGAAACAATGGCAGGTACAAATGAGAAAACCTGCACTATTTGGCTAACACTGCAGCTGTCAGGCTTCGCTCTGGCCACCAGGAGCTCACCAGCTGCGTGTCTTCACTCGTGACGATGCCCTGGGCTTGACACCGAGTCGTGTGCACCTTCTTGGAGACCGCAAACACCTACAAAGAAGAAAACGCCCCAAGAACGTTGAACATGCCAAGAAATCCAATTATCAGCCCCGCGTTCCTCGCCGCACCACGGCATTACCTTTCTGCCCAGGAGCTGATTAGACAGCGTGGACTTGCCGGCGTTGGGCGCGCCGATGATGGCCACCTTCAGAACCTTGGGGCTCCGGGGCTGGTCCGGCCGGTGCCGTAGGAGCCGCTCCTGCTCCTCTGCCGCGCGGGACACGGGTTGGGGCGCGGATAAGCTCCCGCGGGCGCTATCGCCCCGCGCACGCGGCCCGTATCGCCCCGCGCGGCGCCGCGGCCGTTACCCGCGGCCTGGCGGAGCCGCCCCGCGGGCGGCAGGGACGGGGCCGCC